AGTCCTCCTCCTGCCAGCTCAAGTTCTGAATGCTCACTAATTCGTATGGGTATGTGTTTACTTTCTTATTTAAGCTATGTATATATTGGTTCAAAGGGGTTATTTTAACATTTAAGGTTTTCCTTTTTTAAAAAAAACAAAACTGGGCTGGGAAGGTGGCTCAGTGGTAGAGCACTTGCTTTGCATGCTTGAGGGCCTGGGTTGGATTCCTCAGCACCACATAAGCAAAAAGAAAAAAGCCAGAAGTGGCGCTGTGGCTCAAGTGATAGAGCGCTAGTCTTGAGCTGAAGAGCTGAGGGAAAGTGCCCAGGCCCAGAGTTCAGGCCCCACGACCAGACAAAAAAAAACATAAAACAAAAAAACAAAACTGCTGGGCGCCAGTGGCTCACGTCTACCTGTAATCCTAGCTACTCAGAAGATTGAGGTCTGAGGACTACAGTTCAAAGCCAACCCCGGGCAGGAAAGTCCCTGAGACTCATCTCCAATTAACTACCAGAAAACCGGAAGTGGCACTGTGGATCAAGTGGTAGAGCACTAGCCTTGAGCTGAAGAGCTGAGGGATAGTGCCAGGCCAGAGTTCAAGCCCCATGTCTTCAAACAAACAAACAAGCAAAAAACTACTTTATGATCAGAAAAAAACTTCACATGCTGAAACAATTTTGGAGGCCCTGCCAAAGTCAAAAGAAAACTTATTTGTACGTCTCTTACACAGAGAACACTACTTGCTTTTTTTATTGTTACATTTGAAAGATATAAAGACATGTTTTTATAGAAAAATACTTGATTTAAAACAAAATTTTTTTTTTGAGAGCTGGGAATGTAGCTTAGTGGGAAAGTGCTTGTATAATATGCATGAAGCTGGTGATAGACTCAGGTTCATTTTTTCAGTACCATATAAACAGAAAAAGCCAGAAATAGTGCTGTGGCTCAAGTGGTAGAGTGCTAGCCTTGAGTAAAAGAAGCTCAGGGACAGTGCCCAGGCCCTGACATCAAGCCCCAGGACTGGCAGAAAGAAAAAAAAGAAATCTTTCTGCCTCTGCCTCCTAAGTTACATTTACTACTACCCTATTTTTATTTTATATTTATTTATTTTTTGCCAGTTCTGGGGCTTGAACTCAGGGTCTGGGCTCTGTCCCTGAGCCTCTCTGTGCTAAAACTAGAGCTTTACCATTTGAACCACAGCACCACTTTCGGCTTTTTCTGTTTATCTGGTACTGAGGAATCAAACCCAGCACTTCATACATGCTACGCAAGTACTTTACCACTAAGCCACATTCCCTATTTTTATATATTCATTTTATTATTTTTCCTTGTGCTGGTGATAGATTCAGTTTCTCTAGCATACTAAGCATGTACTCTACCTATTAGCTACAGCCTAGAATATTTGTTTACACATATAGGATAAATTTAAAGGTTTGTTTTTAATTTAACGTGTTTTGTGGGGTTGTTTTTTTTTTGGGGGGTCCTGTCGTGGGGCCTAAACTCTGGGCCTGGGCACTGTCCCTCAGCTCTTCAGCTCAAGGCTAGTGCTCTACCACTTGAGCCACAGCACCACTTCTGGCTTTTTTCTTTTTGTTTATGTGGTGCTAAGGAATCCAACCCAGGGCCTCAGGCATGCAAGGCAAGCGCTCTACCACTGAGCCACCTTCCCAGCCCCCCTTTTTTTGTTTTTTTCTGTCGGTCGTGGGGCTTGAACTCTGGGCTTGGGTGCTGTCCTTGCCCTTTTCAGCTCAAGGCGAGCACTCTACCACTTGAGCCACAGCTCTACTTCTGGTTTTCCAGTGGTTTATTGGAGATAAGAGTCTCATGGACTTTCCTGTTCGGGCTGACTTTGAGTGTCGATCCTCAGATCTCAACCTCCTGAGTAGCTAGGATTACAGGCATGAGCCACCAGCACCTGGCTTAATTTTACGTTTTTTATGTAATGAAGTTTCCTTTTTTTCTTTTCTTTTCTTTTCTTGTTAGTCATAGGGCTTGAACTCAAGGTGTAGGCTTTGTCTGTTTTTCACTCAAGCCTAGCACTCTATCACTTTGAGCCACAGCACCACTTCTGGCTTTTTCTGAGTAGTTTATTGGAGAATTAAGAGTCTCACAGACTTTCCTGCCTGGGTTGACTTTGAACCACGATCCTCATATCTCAGCTTTGTTAGTAGAGAGGATTAGAGACATGAGTCACCAACCCCTGGTTGAGGTTTTTTACTGGTTTCTTCTTTTCCTTAACACATGTTCTGAGATTAGAACATATATTGAGAGCAAGTTACATAAAAATTTGGCTGTTCCAAAAAACGTAAACATAGAAGTATATGCTTAAAGTAAAAGTAGACACTTGTAATATAAACTTCAATTGTATTAGCAACATTTGTTACTAAATTAGAAAATGTAGATATATATACACTTTGGAATAGACAGATCTTCCTCAACTTTTCTCTACTTGTTATTGTAGCTTGGATTCATAATCAGTTTTATGCATGTGCAGACATGCATAGATGTGTGTGTGTGTGTGTGTGTGGCAGGAAAGAGCTTGTGTATAACTTTTCTGGCTTTCTGGTAGCAACAGTTTTTAGTTTTATAGTCCTAGAACTGCTTGGAAAAATAATCAATACATGTTTTTATCCATGAAGGATTTCCTCAACACACCATGGCTTTTTTCTCTGATCAAGATGCAAAACCTTCTTTCAGCATGGCGTAAGTCTATGATAATACATTAATATTTTAAGTTCATTTGCTTGAGTTATAACTTATTTATTTTATTTATTTTTTGGGGGGAGGGGGTCTGGTCGTAGGGCCTGAACTCTGGGCCTGGGCACTGTCCCTCAGCTCTTCAGCTCAAGGCTAGCGCTCTACCACTTGAGCCACAGCACCCCTTCCAGCTTTTTTCTTTTTGCTTATGTGGTGCTGAGGAATCGAACCCAGGGCCTCAAGCATGCAAGGCAAGCGCTCTACCACTGAGCCACCTTCCCAGCCCCGAAATGTGCTAGCTTTTATGAAAGATTACCTTCTGCTGCATGCTGGTGACCCATGCCTATATTCCTAGCAACGCAAGAGGCAGCAATCTCTGCATCATGTTTCAAAGCCACCACAGGCATATATTTTTTTTCTTTTTTTTCCCCCCCAAATAGGACTGTAGGTCCTTAAGTTTAAGTCCCAGTACTGGCATACACATACACATATACACACACAAAAGAGGAGTGGAGAAGTTAAACAATGGAGACAGAATAAAACGTAATTGATAGAATTAGTAAATAAAGATGTTTAAATACCAGATGAGGAGAATTTGAAAATCATAAGACATAGGAAAGGTATTAAAAAAAAGACCTACAAACTTTTAGAAATGAAGAGTTTGACAGAATTGGAAAATTCATCAGATGTCATTAGGAGATGCATCTGGCAAAAGAAAAGACTAGTGAATTAAAAGACAGCAAGAGAAACTTCAAAATAAAGAGAAAAAAAGCATGAAGAGCATAAATGAGCTATAGGAAATATATTTTGTGGTCATGTGACCTGGTACTGGGACTTGAACTTGGCCATGAGGCTCTCCTGCTTGGTTTCTTTTGTTTACCTAGCTTATGACACATATTTTCAAATAAATAAATAAATTTTAAAATAGAATCCAGAGTTTAGACTGGGGCAACATAATTTCTTTAGCTCTTGCTTTTCATCTCCCCACTCTCTGTCCCACACTCAGTAGTACACACATGTATATGAAGGGAAACATGCATATGTCACACAAATGCATGTATGTATGCATGCATGAATATCTCACCTCTCAGAGTCTTTTCTTTTTACTCCCACAGGCATTTGGATAACAGTACTGAATCTGGGCTTACATTAGGAGGCTATTTCTGCCCACAGTGTCGGGCAAAGTACAGTGAGCTTCCAGTTGAATGTAAAATATGTGGTAAGGAGCTGACTATCCTTTTTTTGGGGGGGAGGGGGCGTGATCAGTTGTGGGGCTTGAGCTCTGGGCCTGGGCGCTGTCCCTCAGCTCTTCAGCTCAAGTCTAATGCTCTACCACTTGAGCTACAGCGCTACTTCCTGTTTTCTGTTGGTTAATTAGAGATAAGAGTCTCATAAACTTCCTGCCTGGGCTAGCTTTGAACTGCAATCCTCAGATCTCAGCCTCCTGAATAGGTGGATTACAAGCATGAGCTACCAGCGTCCAGCTAGGAGATGACTATTCTTCTCAAGTAAATTAATTATAAATTACTTCCCATCTGTTTCACTGCTGAAATAAAGGTAGTTGTTGAATTATACACTTATGGATATCATCTCTTTGAAGAGTAAGATTAATATTCTCACTGAATGCCTACTATTCCACTTCTAAGAATAAACAGTGTAGAGGAGCTTTCTCTTTCTGTAGAAGAGTCATTTATTAGGTGTTGGTAGCTCACACCTGTAGTCCTAGCTACTCAGGAGACTGAGATCTGAGGATCAAAGTTCAAAGCCAGCCCTGGCAAAAAAAATCCATGAGACTTATCTTCAGTTAACCATCAGAAAACTAGAAGTGGCACTATGGCTCAAAATGGTAGAGTGCTAGGCTTGAGCCTAGGCCCTGAGTTCAAGCCCACGGCTAACAAAAATAGAGTATAATCACAAAGGCACTGTTAGTAGACAATATTCTGAGTCTTACCTTTATAAAATATACATAAGCTAATGGTGAGTTAAAATTAGGTAATTATAAAATTTTGTTTCATTTATAAGAAAATAATGCAAGAGAGATTACATACTTAGTGGCAGAACTAAGACTCCATCCTGAAATTTCCTTTAATGGCCATAGTTAATACCTGCAGTCTTAGAAACACTTGCATTCTGGGAATATAGCTCAGTAATAATATTTTGGAAAATATTTTACATATTTTTTTAATATTTGGCTTAAGCTGTACCATTCAACTTTTTAGCCATTGTCTGTGAATTTTGGTTATTAAATATGTCTCTTTTATGTGGTAGGTCTCACTTTGGTGTCTGCTCCCCATTTGGCACGGTCTTATCACCATTTATTTCCTTTGGATGCTTTTCAAGAAATTCCTCTAGAAGAATACAAAGGAGAAAGGTATACTAGTTTCATTTAATCTATGTCAGTTATAAGTGGTACTGTTCAAGATTTCAAGATTGATTTCAGTATGATTACTTCTAATGTCGAAAATGATAATGTAGAATAGCCTGGTTATGACTAAATGACTCATTAAATGTACCTGCTTCTCTAGTCATTTATTTATTTTTTTTATTTTTTATTTTTTGGGTCCGGTGGTGGGGCCTGAACTCTGGGCCTGGGTGCTGTCCCTCAGCTCTTCAGCTCAAGGCTAGCTCTCTACCACTTGAGCCACAGCGCCACTTCCGGCTTTTTTTCTTTTTGCTTATGTGGTGCTGGGGAATCAAACCCAGGACCTCAGGCATGCAAGGCAAGCGCTCTACCACTGAGCCACCTTCCCAGCCCTCTCTAGTCATTTATTAACTTATGTAAGCTTACTTATTTGTAGTAAATGATGATATTTGGTAAAAAACAAAAGTCTCTGAGAAGATTCTTTGGTATTATTTTGTGGTTTCCTAAGATGGCCCCACCTTGGCCTGTTTTTAGCTACCAACAGTTTAACAACTAGATTTAAAATTATTTTTCTTATTTTTTTCCAGTTGTGGGGCTTGAACTCTGGGTTTGGCTCTGTCCTTCAGCTCTTCAGCTCAAGGCGAGTGCTCTACCACTTGAGCCACAGTGCTACTTCCTGTTTTCTGGTGGTAAATTAGAGATAAAGTCTCATGAACTTTCCTGCCCAGGCTGGTTCTGAACCACGATCCTCAGATCTCAGCCTCCTGAGGAGCTAGGATTACAGGTGTGAGCCACCAATGCCCGGCTTTGAAATTCTTGAATATTTAATAATTGATTATCTTGAGCTTTAACACACATTGAAAATAAGGGCAGGAATACACAATCTAATTAATCAAAGTACCTTTAGGTAATTTGTAGATAAAGCTGAAGAAATGTCCCATAATGAGAAGTATTAGATGTAAGATGAAGAAGCATATGTAAGCTGGGTGTAGTGGCACACTCCTGTAATCCCAACACTGAAGTCCAAGGCTAGAGTATCTTGTTTCCAGACCAGGAACTGGACATGTGGTTTAATTGGGAGAGTGCTAGCTTTGAGTGAAAAAGCCAAGCAAGAGCACAAGGCCCTGGGTTCAAACTCTAGTACCAGCATACACACATACACAAGGACCTTAATTTTTAGGCAAGCCTTGGATACATTCAGAGACCCTTCTCTCAAAAAGACCTGCACAAAGGGCTAGAGTGTGAACCAAGTGGTAGAATGCCTGCTTGAGGCCCATAGTTCAAATCCCAAAAAGACACTTTAAAAAACTGTAGCAGGTACTACTATAATTCTAGCTACTCAGGAAGCAGAGATCTGAGGATCTCAGATCTAAACCGACTGGGGCAGAAATGTCTGTAAACCTCCATCTCCAATTAATCATCAAAATGCCAGACTGGAAACCTAGCCTAAGTGGTATAACACCAGCCATAAGCAAGAGCATGCAGCCTTAAGTTCAAACCCTACTATTTGGGGTGGAGTGGGGAACATAATATAGAAGCGTTAAATATAAGAAAATTTATGGGGGCTGGGAAGGTGGCTCAGTCGTAGAGTGCTTGCCTTGCATGCATGAGGCCCTGGGCTCGATTCCTCAGCACCACATAAACAAAAAAGAAAAAAAAAAGCCAGAAGTGGTGCTGTGACTCAAGTGGTGGAGTGCTAGCCTTGAGCTGAAGAGCTGAGGGACAGTGCCCAGGCCCAGAGTTCAGGCCCCATGACCGGACCCCCAAAAAAAAGAAAAGAAAATTGATGGATTTATCTAGTAGGGCCAATATCAGAGAAAATAAAGTATGTGGAGTAGGAACTCATCTAAGAAATAAGTTCAAAGAAAATTGAAAATCAGAATTTTCTAGATTGGAAGGGACTGTCAAATGTCTAACATTGACAGGCTTATACTAAAGTATAGAACTGTAAAATTCAGTCTGTGCCATAAATACTTCCAGAGAGAAAAAATTAGGTCAGATGTAAATGATCTGGGATTAAAATTGTTTAGCATTTTTTCTATAATACCAAAGGCTGGCAGAAGCAAATTCCTTAAGAATTTATAATAAAAATTATCACCAACTTGAATTATGTACTCAACCACTCTTATTAGTAAAGTATGGCTAGAATTAAGATGTTTTCCTACTTTCAGCTCACATTATTCTTATATTGGCCCTACTGGATAAATCCACCAGTTTTCTTATAGAGTGCTAGCCTTAAGCAAAATGAAGCTTAGGGTCAGTGCCCAGGCCCAGAGTTCAAGCCCCACGACAGACAAAAAAAAAAAAGATAATTGGTTTTTAAGGGATTCTAGACTGGCACTGGTGACTCACACCTGTAATCCTAGCTACTTAAGAGGCTGAGATCTGAGGATTACATTTCAAAGCTAGCCTGGGCAGAAAATTCCATGATGTGACCCTGTATCTCCAATAAACCACCCAAAAATGGAAAAATGGTGCTGTGGCTCAAGTGGTAGACTGCTAGCCTTGAGCACAAAGAGGATCAGGGGCTTGAACTGCGTGCTGTCCCTTGAACTGGGACAGCACGCAATTCAAGCCCCATAAGCGACCAAAAAAATAATAAGGATTCTAGAGCTGGGGCTCAAGTAGCATAGAGTTCTGCCTGGCTGGAGGCCCTGAGTTCATTAACACCACCACCACCACCCCCAAAAGAAATTAGTTATTGAGATTTTACTGTTTTTGTTTTTATTTTTGAGGATGGTAGTACCAGTCCTGGGATTTAAACTCAGGACCTGGGTGCTCTCCCTGAGCTTCTTTGCTCAAGGCTAGTGTTCTACCACTTGAGCCACAGCTCCACTTCCAACATTTTTAGTAGTTAATTGGAGATAAGAGTTTCATGGGCTTTCATGCCTGGGCCTGCTTTGAACCAAGATCCTCAGGTCTCAGCCTCCTGAGTTGCTAGGATTGCAGGCATGAACTACTATGCTCCAGCTATTATTCTCCCCCTCTCCCCCTCAGTCCTGGTAATTGAACTCAGGGTCTGGGCACTGTCCCTGAGCTTCTTTTGCTCAAGGCTAGCACTATACCACTTGAGCCACAGCGTCACTTCTGGCTTTTCCTGTTTATGTGGTACTGAGTAACGGAACCCAGGGCTTCATGCATGCTAGGCAAGGACTCTACCACTAAGCCACATTCCCAGTCCCTAGTCTATTTTTAATGAGTAAATTCTTAAAAAATGATTCTTAACCTTGCTTTTTCAGGTTTTGTTATGGATGTCAGGCAGAATTGAAAGACCAGCATGTAAGTTAATTGGTTTTCTAAATAGTATGTAATACATATGAAGCTACTGAGAGCTGGGAGCTAGTGGCTCAAGCCCCAGTACCAGCACCAAAAAAAGTAAAGAAAGGAAGAAAATAAATACTGAAGCAGGGCACTGGTGGTTCACGCTTGTAATTAAGAGGCTGATATCTGATGATCATTCCTGTGTAACTCCACAAAACTATCTAAAGAGCCAGCAAATGGAGCTGTGGCTCAAGTGGTGGAGTGTTGTTAGCCTTGAGCAAAAGCAGCTCAGGGATGGTGCTTAGACTTTGAATTTCAAGCCCCAGTATTGGAATAAAAAAGAAAGAAATACTGAGGAAACAGTGTAATAAATTTTAAATAGGTTGTTAAAGACCAGGCTTGTAATGGGGTTATTTTTTCATTAATATGATTACAGCAAATAAAGAGAAAATGGGAACAAATAAATAATAGCCAGGTGCTGGTAGCTCACATCTATAATCCTAGCTACTTAGAAAGCAGAGATCTGAGGATTGAAATTTGAAAATAGCTTGAGCAGCAAAGGCCTTGAGACTTTTATCTCCAATTAACCATCAAAAAGCCACAAATAGAAAAGTCTGTGACGCGGGCTGGAAAGGTGGCTCAGTGGTAGAGCGCTTGCCTTACATGCATGAGGCCCTGGGTTCAGCAACAAACAAAAAGCAGGAAGTGGCTCTGAGGCTCAAGTGGTAGAGTGCTAGCCTTGAGCTGAAGAGCTGAGGGACAGCACCCAGGCCCAGAGTTCAGGCCCCACGACCGGGCCCAAAAAAAAAAAAAAGAAAAGAAAAGTGACTTTTATCTACATGAAACTACCAAAAGAGCCAGAAGTGGAGCTTTCACTCAAATGATTGGCCACCTGCCCTGAGCAAAAAAGCTAATAGATAATGCCTAGATCCTGAGTTCAAGCCGAGAGAGAGACAGACAGACAGACAAAGGAAGTTTGGCTGTCCTACAATAAATACACTTTAAGCTCTCAGAAATGAGGTCATTTCTAAAGGTTAATGCCCACACTAACCTTTAGAAATAAGTTGCCTTAGATGTGAGAATATTTAGTACTCTCTAAAATAGGTAGGTAGGTGGGTAATAGAAGTTTACTGGAGGGGCTGGGAAGGTGGCTCAGTGGTAGAGTGCTTGCCTTGCATGCATGAGGCCCTGGGTTTGATTCCTCAGCACCACATAAACAAAAAGAAAAAAGCCGGAAGTGGTGCTGTGGCTCAAGTGGTAGAGCGCTAGCCTTGAGCTGAAGAGCTGAGGGACAGCGCCCAGGCCCAGAGTTAAGCCCACGACCGGACCCAAAAAAAAAAAAAAAGAAGTTTACTGGAATATACACACGCAAAGCAGGCTAGGCAGGGGTTAGCTTTTGTTTATTAACTTTGCCCTCTCTGCTATAGGTCTACGTTTGTGCTGTGTGCCAGAATGTTTTCTGTGTGGACTGTGACGTTTTTGTTCATGAATCTCTACACTGCTGTCCTGGCTGTATTCATAAGATTCCAACTCCTTCAGGTATTTGATTCCCACATGTGGGTTAAGAAGAAATAGGCATCTGTAAATAAAATGACTCTTTAAGTTTGTTTTCTAATTAAATTGGGAAGAACAATTTGAGAGAAAAATATAACTTAAACTTTTTATAAAGAAAATACAATATTTTTTTTAATTTGTGTGCTGTCACAGAAATGCTTAGAACCCAGCTAATTTTAAGTCAATGTTTTTGGTCATTTGACATTATTATGTATAAATTACTTATAATGATGAAATGGATATGATAACCTCACTGCTTTATAATTGGAGTAAATACAGAATATGATTTTTTTTAGTGTGTTGATTTAGTTAAAAGTTAAGGAAATTTAGGAAAAGTTAAGTGCAAGGTTTAGAATAAGGTGAAAGTTAACCATAATTATGAATTAACTAAAATTTGTTATCTATAAAGTTAATACATCTGAAATTATAAATTATTATTGGCTGTGATTCCCCCCCCCCAAACTCCCTCCCCTGGTCCTAGAGCTTGAACTCAGATCCTGGACACTGTCCTTGAGCCTCTCTGTGCTCAAGGCTAGCGCTCTACCACTTGAGCCACAGCACTACTTCCAGTCTTTTCTGTTTTATGTGGTACTGAAGAATGGAACCTAGGGCTTCAGGCATGCTAAGCAAGCACTCTACCACTTAGCCACATTCCCAGCCCCTCACAGGGATCTTTTAGGTTAAATACTGAAACACACATACTATGACCACAATCAGAAGTCATTTAGAAATGTGGGTAACACTTTTAACTTTATGTGTTACTGGCAACCCAGCTTGAAAGCTAACTCAATCTAAGATTCAGATGCTGTGAGGGCAAAAAGTCTTATTTAATTCTTGTACTTTTTTTTGGGGGGGGGTCCGGTCGTGGGGCCTGAACTCTGGGCCTGGGCACTGTCCTTCAGCTCTTTAGCTCAAGGCTAACACTCTACCACTTGAGCCACAGCGCCACTTCTGGCTTTTTTTTTCTGCTTATGTGGTGTTGAGGAATAGAACCCAGGGCCTCATGCATGCAAGGCAAGCGCTCTACCACTGAGCCACCTTCCCAGCCCAATTCTTGTTCTCTTATATGCTAAGCTTATTGCTTGGAATATTTTACTTAAGCCGGGCACTGGTGGCTCACACCTGTAATCCTAGCTGTTCAGGAGGCTGAGATCTGAGGATCATGGTTCAAAGCCAGCCGGGGCAGGAAAGTCTTTTGAGACTCTTATCTCCAATAAACCACCAGAAAACTGGAAGTGGTGCTGTGGTTCCAGTGGTAGAGCACTAACCTTGAACTGAAGAGCTGAGGGACAGCACCTAGGCCCAGAGTTCAAGCCTCACAACCTACAAAATAATATTTACTTAAGGAGTTATATCTGATTTTAACATTTTGTTGTTATTTGGTATCTGAGATTAATTAGTGAAGGTCAAAGTTGGGGGGTCTCTGTCTCTGTTAGCCTTGCTTAATTTCATCTCCAGGGATTATTTAATTTTTCCCTTTGCAACTTTCCTACCCTGAATCATCAGAGAAACTTTGATGAGAATGTATGATGAAGTCTGTGTTTTAGGTTCAGTGCAGATGTCTCATAATTGGCAGGACGCCTTTCCAGGTATACCCTATTGAGCGAGTAAAGCTTCCATAAGCAAAGGTATGTGTATTTTATATCTGTAAACTTGAGTTGCCCTAGATTGAGTTCCACTGTGAAATTTGTGATTTTATAAAACAATGCTTGCTGGGCGCTCGTGACTCATGACTCTAATCCTGGCTCCTCAGGAGGCCGAAAGTTGAGGATCACCGTTTGAAGCCAGCTGGGGCAGGAAAGTCCATGAGACTCTTAGCTCCAATAAACCACTCAAAAAAAAAAAAGCAAGAAGTGGTGCTGTGGCTCAAGTGGTAGAGCACTAGCCTTGAGCAAAAGAAGCCCAGGGACAGTATCCATGTACTATATGAGCAAAGATAATGGAACTCTGTCCTGAGAAGTATTTTCAATTAAGTCTTTGACAAATCCCCAAAATTATGTATTTCTTAATAAAGACATAATAATAATAGCATACCAATAAGGAAACAGTGATATGCAGGAGATTCCTCTAAGGTGATTCTGCTTCCCCTACCTGGATTAGATTGAATGCTTCAGCTATCTCCTGAGAAGTTACTAGAACCTTCCTATAAGCTATGAAAGAGATTAGAGTGTCAATTTGACAACCATAACTCTTTCCTCAGTTTTGGATCTCATTTGTATACCTGATAATGGTAAAATAAGTATTTTAGTTATACTTACAGAGAAATTTCCTTTTTCACAATAATAGAGAAAAATAATAGTTTGTATAAGGATTTTATAAATGAAGACTGGGAATGTAACTAAGTGATAGAGCACTGGCCTAGCATGTATGAGGCTCTGGGTCCCATCTCTGGTACTGGAGGGGAAAAAAGTTTGCAAAAGGGCTGGGGAGGTGGCTCAGTGGTAGAGCGCTTGCCTTGCATGCATGAGGCCCTGGGTTCGATTCCTCAGCACCACATAAGCAAAAAGAAAAAAGCCGGAAGTGGCACTGTGGCTCAAGTGGTAGAGCTCTAGCCTTGAGCTGAAGAGCTGAGGGACAATGCCCAGGCCCAGGGTTCAGGCCCCACAACCGGACCCCCAAAAAAAAAAGAAAAGAAAAAAGAGTTTGCAAAAGTACACACAGTGATTAAAAGTTATGACTTTTAATTTCTTGAAACTCTATGCTGTATTTTAAGGCTCCAAATGTGTAAAATTTTTTTGATGGTGCTAGAGATTGAATTTAGGATAATAAATGTATGCATTTTTACTTCATATTCTTTGTCAGTCCTGAAGATTGAATCCTGGGCCTCATTCTTGCTAGACACTCTTAACACTAAATTATACTTCATACTCTTTTTATTCAGTCTGACAATCTTTATCTTTTAACTAAAACATTAAATCTAAGCCAGGCACCGGTGGCTCACACCTATAATCCTAGCTACTCAGGAGGCTAAGATCTGAGGATTGTGGTTCAAAGCCAGCCTGGGCAGGAAAGTCCTTGAGACTCTTTATCTCCACTTAACCTCCAGAAAAATGGAAATGGTGCTGTGGCTCAAGTGGTAGAGCACACACCTTGAGCTGAAGAGCTCAGGGACAGAGGCCCAGCCCAGAGTTCAAGCCCTACTACCAACAAAAACAAAACAAAACAAAAAACAACAATAAATCCATTCAAATTTAATCTGTAAATTAAATTTTATATAATTACATATGTCTAATATATTTACATTTAATACATGTATTATCACTGATAAATTTTTGGTCTAATCTGTCCATCTGTGTGTTATTATTTTCAACTATTCCATCTTGTTTTCTCTCTTGCCTTTTAAAAGTTGATTATTTTCTGTCTAATTAGGAAATTGTATGCTGTGTTTTATTCTTTTAATAGTCAGCAGAAGTTATACAGGATATTTTAGCTTGGGTCCTCTAGCAAGTAAAGACAGATGCAAAAATAGAAGTACTGTTCCTTGATGTAGGAGGTGAAGTTGAAGAAGCAAAGGGAAAGCAGGGTGAGGAAATCTGCCGTGTGTTCCTACAGGAGCCATGCTTTGTGACACTGAAGAAAGGCTTAGGAGTCTCCCATCAGTGTGTTCCCTTAGAACAGGTAGCTTCCCTGGAAGATTTGTCAGGAGAAATTTCTCTGGGCTGTCTGTTAAAGGAAGGAAGAAGAGGTAACTTTTCTAACTCCTTCCCTTTCCCATTAACCATTGCTTAAAGTTTACCCACGATAATTTCCTGGTGACTGCTCAGCAAGCTGATCCTATGAAGGAGTGCTATAGCATTGCATCCAACTCTGGGAGATGGTGGGCAAACCCTGTCAGAAAAGCTTTGGTGCCTTCAGTTTGATGGCCAATCCAGGAAGCTGGGTAAAGTCAGTAGTGGAACAGACAATACTTTTGTACTAGTGTGTCATGGTGTAATCGGAGTTCTCAGAAGGCTAAGCTCAGAGGATCACAGTTCAAAGCTAGCCCAGGCAGACAAATCTAAAAGATTCTTTGTCTCCAATTAAACATCAAAATAGCAGAAATAGAGTTATGACTCAAGGATAGAGGGTCAGCCTTACATGGAAAAAGTTAATGAATGAATGAATGAATGATGAATGGGTAGACAAAGGGAATCTGAAGAGGCATTATTTATTTGTATTCATTTATTAGTTATCCAAGCTGAAAGTCAAAATGGACCTTCACCTCCTTGCAGACTATACAAGGACTCCTTCCTCACATGTATATTATTGCATTTCTTCCATATCATACGATATTAATATTTGTTTTAATCAGCCTATATTGAGATTTGATCATATTTTTACCACTTTTTTGACTCTCCGTTTCTTCTTGTGTCTCAGATCTAAGAGGATGAGGTACATTTGCTTAGAATATAGTAACATTCAGAATATAAGAGTCTCACAGACTTTCCTGTCTGGGCTGGCTTTGAACCATGATCCTCAGATCTCAGCATCCTGAGTAGCTAGGATTACAGGAGTGAGCCACCAACATCTGGCTAACACTGTGACTTTTTTTTGTAATGATTAGAGATAAGAGTTTCACACACTCTTCTGTTCAGGCTGGCCTCAACCCATAGTCCTCAGATCTCAGCCTCCTGAGTAGCTAGGATTATAGGTGTGAGATACCAGCACCCAGCTTGTTGTTTTAATAAGCAAAGCACTAACATGTCACAATGGGGCCATTCAGGTTCCTTCTGGTCAGGGTGGCATGTGGAAGGAACTGTGGGCTTTTGTAAGATTACTTACTAGTTTGTAACTTCCTCATGTTTGTGTCATATCTGTGTTTTGTCCCCTCTGTCTCTAACATGGTAAACACATTTGTATGATGAAATGATCTTATAATAATGAGGAGCCAGGGGCTGGGAAGGTGGCTCAGTGGTAGAGCGCTTGCCTTGCATGCATGAGGCCCTGGGTTCGATTGATTCCTCAGCAAAAAAGAAAAAAACTGGAAGTGGCGCTGTGGCTCAAGT